TCCATTATTCAAAATCTAGCTCCAATGCTTTCTTCCTAAAACTTTCCTTGAACATCCTACAAGATATTATTTCCTCAGTCTGTGAGGACCATATAGCAGCTGGTAACACACCTGAAAGTTCTGCCTTATAATAAATCATTAGTACCTTTTAATCTCTTTTAGCATATGATAAATTCCCAAAGAGCATGGACACTGTTTTATGTATCTTTGTATTCTTCATAGTATCTTGCATATAGGTGTCCAATAAAATTCTACAGACACTTTGAATCACTGCTTTACATTTCATTATATATAGTCTTCACTGCTTTATATGTATTTTATCTTTCCTCTCAAAGAATAAGAGTTTCCACTGAGAAAAGTAGTGTGCTTCATATTTCAGTTTAAAGTTTGGGGAGAAGATGACCTCTGGCATGCAGGTGAGCCAACAAGTAACCAGTCAGGTGGGTGGGTATATGAGTGTGAGAGTGAGGGAGAGTGAGTGAGAGAGAGGGAGAGAGAACACTAGTTAGTTATTAGTGAGAAGACCCAGCTGGAAAGATCTCAAAGAATTCGAACCATCAAAGGTATCTGAGCACGAAAGTGATATGGTGAGAACTGTTTTGGTTTAGAGCTCCGATCAGAGCTAAGAGATAAAAATAGTGAAATCATAGGAGTTAAGACTGTCCAAGAAAAAGTATAAAGATAGAAAAGGGCTGAAGATTAAACTTGAGAAATAATTACATTGGGGGAAAGGAAGGGAAGTCAATGAAAAATAAGTGATTCGAGAGATAGTAGGCCAAAGAGAGTATAATGTCTTAAAAACCAAAAAAGCAGCAGAGGAAGTGAACAACAATACCAGAAAAGAGGATGAAAGTTATCAGAAAAGAATCTCATTTAGCAATCGGGAGATTGCTAGTGCTCTTGAGACTGACAGCTTCAATATAATTGGGTGGGGGTGGAGGGTAAGCCATACCACAGTAAGTTAAGAAAATGGTAGAGAATTATAAAGGCAGCAAGTGGGGGCTGCTTTTCCAAGAACTGTGACAGTGAATGAAGAAAGAAAAGGGTAAAAGTTTGAGGCAGAAGCAGAGTACATGTTAAGTTTATATGAGAAGACACATGAGCTTTTTTACAGGCATAGAAGTGAGAAAAAAGGAAACTGGAAAAAAAATAAAATAAGAAGGGAAATGCCACCAAGTCCTGGGGGGAAGACGAGGACTGAACAAGAACAGGTGAAAGGAGGCAATTTAGGAGGCAGCATGGAAAAGAGGAGAATGCAGGAGAAATGAGAAACATTTGTGGTATTGACCAAGGTAGTTAAGGGCACTTCAAATAGCTGGGTAAAGTAATGTGATAAGAATTAAGAGAGGTGAGGCTCAGCAAAAAAAAAGGTTTGAACAATTGCTGTTTGGAGTAGGATAAATCTGAAATGAAGAAAATGAGCACTGAGGGCCCAGATGATAACTGCAAAAGAAAAGGAACAAGTAGAATTATATGTTAGAATCTAAAACAGAAGATGAAATTCTACTATCAGCTGGGTGCAGTGGCTCATGCCTGTAACTCCTAGCACTTTGGAAGGCCAAGGCAGGAGGATCACTTGAGGCCAGGAGTCCAGACCAGCTGGGGCAAGAGCGAGACCCTGTCTCTACAAAAAACTTAAAAATTAGCCGGGCATGGTGACACACGCCTGTAGTCCAAGCTACTCAGGAGGCGGAGGCAGGAGGATCACTTGAGCCCAGGAGTTTGAGGTTGCAGTGACACAGGATGCTGCTACTGCATTCCAGCCTGGATGACAGATTGAGACCTTCCCCTCCCCGCACCAAACAACCAAATTCCAATATAATAAAAAAGTTGGTGGTTTCTATTGCATTGGCTTCTGACTTACAAGGTTCATATCAAGAAAATTTTGAATCTTTCAAAACATTAGCGGAGAAGCACTGGTTGGATGGGCCCTACTGGGAGCCCAAGGCCAAGTTTGATTTTAAAAGAATTTTTTTAAAAATTAAAAAACAAACAAAAAAAAACATTAGCTATCCCTCTGAACTCTATGTCATTCACAGGTTCAATAAACAACTTTATCCAAGTTATTGGTAAACAAGGTAAGGACATACACTTTTCAGCAGGACACTAAAGGCCCCCCTTTAGGGTTGATGCTGATTTATCATTCATCATTCTTCAAGTACAGTTGTTCAACTGATAATGAATCAAATTAACTGTATTCTCATCTAGCCCACCTTTCACCATTCTAATCACAGGACATGATAATTTTTTCAAATATGCTCTGATGAAATCTAATTGCACAATGTCAAAGACATTTCCCTAATGAACCAGTCTATTAATCCTGTCAAAAAAGGAAATGAGGCTAATTTGGCCACTCCTCAGTCAGCCCTATCTCTGTTCAAGGTACCACTAGCCTTGAATGTAAATAATTCTACAAATTACATTATAGATCTACCCTGCAAGGGTAGATCTCACCACATTTCTCCCAGAAGGCAAACTTCAGTCTTCCCACTCTATGATTAGCTACTTTTTAATGTATGAATACAGTCGTCCCCCCTTATCCTTGGTCTCATTTTCTGCAGTTCGGTTACCTGCAGTCACTCACCATCCAAAAATATTACATGGAAAATTCCAGAAATAATTCAAAAGTCTTAAACTGTAGCCGTTCCAAGTAGTTTGATAAAATCTCCTGCTGTCCTCCTTTGTCCAGCCTATCCATACTATATACATAACTGCCCATTAGTAACTTAGTAGCCCTCTCTGTTTTCAGATCAGAAAAAAATAGTATATGTAGGGTTTGGTACTATCCACGGTTTAATGCATCCACAAGAGTCTTGAAACATATCCTCCCCCACCCCACGATAGGGGGTCTACTATACATGGCAGTTACCCATTGCCTCCAATGAGAGGGGGAAAAAAAGGTTTTTCTAGCCAACTTGAATACATAAAATTTTGGTGATACATAGATAAAAGAATCAAATGTTTATTTATAATGCCCACTATATTAATTATATATATTTAAAATCACATACTATATGAAATAACATTTAGAAATTCTGCTTTTTCCTGCAGTCAACATTTCATAAGACAATTATATTGAAAATTGTCCAGTGTATCTTTGGCATCTGTCTTCATGTTCACTAGACTGACTGAGTCACTTACCAGTTTTTTTAAGGCATTATCACCTTCCTTTTATTTATAAAAGTTGTTTGAGTTAGAGTACTTTTTTATTTCTTGTAATATCTTAACCTAAACCCTACATGCCCATTTTTAAGATATTCAGGCAGTTTTTTCATTCTATAGGTGTGTGCTGTAGATGCAGATTCATAATCTCTACGAAGTACTTAATATTGACCAAAGTAGCTTCAGATTTTATCTCCTCCAAACAATCCTTTGTGAGGCTTTGTGTGGAGTAGAATAGTGACTTGCTCTTTTCTGAGAGATAATTTTTTTGGGGGAAAAAGTTGCCTCATATCCAGGTAATCAACAAGTCAAAATTTCACAAAGAATCAGGAACCCAATTAATTCTTACACACATTTCAATTAATAACATATTGCTTATGCTAACACACATGGATACATTAACAGAGATCTTAAGAAGTTAAATTTTCTTTCTGAACTAATGCATTAGAACTTTGCTATACTGTTATAAAAGAGAAAGTAGAGTGAGATGGGTTAATCAATGCCCGTGAATTAGTTTTCTTAAATTAACAGTAGTAGTCTAGTAATCTATTGTATTGTGTATCAATCAAATGCCAGGCACTATTTTAACCATTTCTGATACGTTAATTTATTTAATCTACACAATGTTCCCACAAAATAGGTGTTGTTGATAATTCCCTTTTAACGATAAGGAAACTTGGGCACAGAGAGTTAAGAAACTTGCCCAAAGTCGTAAATCTTGTATATGGGGGATACCTGGAGAGTCTAGTTCTAGCCCCTTCTTTTAAAAGATGATATACAGTATTGCCTCTTAGAAAAAGTTGGTCTTCATTTTATAAGACAATCCCATCTATTAGGCAGTTAATATCAGTGGTCTATGGAAGACATGACGGTGAATTTCCAGTGTATTTTAATTTATTTTCTATTATCCATCCACACTGCCTGAAGACATAATGATAAACCCGACGGAGGGGTAGTTCATCCTTTGTACCTATGTTCCCTGAGCTAATCACGACCCCCATTTCAGCGAGTTGTGATTAAGATTCTCACTACAACCACAAGCACAGAACAGACTAGCTCCAAGTCCTACTCATTCTTCTCCAAACTTTTTAACTGATGGCGGAGAATCTGCCCCCTCTGGGCCTGGATCTCCCTTGCTATATAAAACTAACTTTAAATGTTGTCTTTAATAAGGTTACTTTCCTACGCCCTAAAACGACAGTAGCACTTCATCAGTTGTCATCTGGTCGTGTCCTGTAATAGGGGTGGGGGTTGGGGAGATTCCTAATGAAAAAAGGGAAAAACATGAACTCAAGAATGAGAGAATTAGGAGGGAAGGTGTAGCACGCAAAGGGAGGAAGCGGGTGGAGTGGGAGGCACTCCTGTCTGACTTGGAATTTCGTGCAGATAGAATGAGAACAGAAATTGAGGAGATGGGGGTCGATTCATTGAAAACTGTTAGGCAGCATTTTCTTGGATTTCCCTTTTATGCTTCTTAGACACTCGCTTCAGAAGAAACTGAGACCTAAGAGTACTACTAACGGCCCAATCGGTCAGGGCTCAGCACGACCATTCATCTCCCGCTCCTGGGCAGAGCTAGTCCCCTCAAAGCATCGCTCCACGCCGTCCCTCAGCCGGGTTATTCACACCGGTCAACCGGCGGGAGGGACCACCGGAGCCTGTCGACCCCGAGGCCACAGACCAGCGTTCCGGTTCTCGGCGGTAGCCACTGCAGCTTTCCTTACGGTGGACAACCCCTGAACACTCCTACATGTCGCGGCTGAACCTGAACCGAGCCTTTCCCGAACGCTGACCCCGGCGCTCACGGAGTAAAACCCAACCTGGGCTGAGGGTCTTACCTTTAACAGATTAGACGTCGCCATGTTCCTTCAACTTAGACTCTCGCGAGAAGACGCGAGAATTCGTGGCGCTCCCGGCCAGGCCACAACTGGAGGCCGGAGTTCCCACCGGGGCCCACGGGCCCAGCGGCCCGCACCTGGGGTGTGGTGGGCGCCGGGGCGGCGTGCCGACAGCGCTGGCCTCGTCCCAAGCACCCGGAGCTTCCTCACTCTTTCCCCCTACATGGTCACCGGAGCTTTCCCACACGAAAGAGCTCATGCAAGCGCTCAGGGAGACGGGAACGGCGAATGGTGAGAAGATAACAGGAGCCGACCTGACTTGGAAGAGGAAGCATCGGCTCCTCGAACCTCCCCAACGCCTTCGGATTAGCCTTTGTGGTTGCACCCGCAGTGCCCACCGGCAACGAATTTAGCTCTGTTCAGGCCTGGCAGCTCAGGTTCCGCGGCCGCGTCACGTGACGCGGAGGGCGGGGACGTGCTCGGGAGCAAGCGTGGGAGCCTGGAAACCTCCGTGGATCGGAGGCACGCCCTCTGCTGGCGGGACCCACGCTTTCCTCCACCTCTCCCCGGCCCCAAATCCCGGGACTCCTCGTTAAGGGAGATACATTACTCGTTAGTTGAAATGTTTATAATAGCTGTCTTCAGTAAGACCTGGCACATAGAATGGGGCTCAGTAAGTGCACAAACGTGTTGATTATTAATATTTCTATTCAAGAGTGAATGGCACTTAGATATTCCATAAAAGATTGTTCAAGGAATGAATATTAATCTTGGATTTCCTGAAGGCACATCCTAGAAGATCCTAATAAGCCCCCAAGTTTTATCCCTTTAGACCACAAACCACTGGCCAAGGGAGGAGAATATAACTGATAGGTTGGACCTACAGGATAGCTGGTATTGATTATGATGTTTGCAAACAGTATTCATTCATACATTCATAAAATGTCTAGATAAAAAAGAGTTGGAGTAAAATAAAGCAGAGAAGAGGAATGACCCCACTTAAAGAATCCAATTAAGAAGGTAATACTTCTTTGAGCACTTATATGTACTAGGCACTGGAAATACAGAATTAAAAAAGACTCTTGCCCTCTTGGAGCTTATGGTCTAACAAGGGAGCCAAATATTAAGCATACTTTCACAAGTCAAATATTATAATACTTAATTGGAGTTGTGATAAATACTGCAAAGAAAAATCCAATGTGTGCTTGAGAGTGTATCATGATAGAGAAGGTGGCCGATGTCTTCATCTCCCTCCATGCAAGCTATTCCTTCCTTATGAATGGAAACTTAACACTGAACATTATGACAAACTTTTGAGAACTCAATTTCAACATCCCACTGTCTAACCAGAACATTCCATTCCCCTAACTTGCTTGTTCTGATAACACCACTGCTAAAACTCTGACTTCAATGAGTTCTCCATTTTGTTGACCCTACCACTTCCTCCTTATCTGTCATCCCTTCCTTTTTTCACTTTCTCATTCAATTTAGATTCAATGGCTCATCGTTATAAAACTGCTTAAATGTTTAAAATGCTTAAACATTTAATTTTTAAAAATACAGAACACAAGCACATAGTACAAAATTCAGAAGATGCTAAAAGAAATACGATCAAAAGTAGGCCTCCTGGACGGGTGAGGTGGCTCATGCCTGTAATCCTAGCACTCTGGGAGGCGGAGGCGGAAGGATTGCTTGAGGCTAGGAGTTGAAGACCACCCTGGACAACACAGCAAGACCCCCATGTCTACTAAAACAAAAAATAGTAAACAAAATTTGAAGTATAGTTAATGATATTCAGGCTGAAGGATTTAGAGTAAGTAAAGTTATATTTAGAATTTATTTTAAAACGTAAATGTATCAAAAATAAAATGGATTGATGGTTGGATGGAAATATTGATAAAGCAATTATAATAAAATGTTAATGATAGAATGTAGGTGGTGGATATACTTGTTTTCCCTGTGTTATTTTAATACTTTCAGCTTGTCCATGTTTGAAATTTTTTTTTTTTTTTTTTGAGGCAGAGTCTTGCTCTGTTGACCCAGCTAGAGTGCAGTGGTATCATCATAACTCTCTGCAACCTCCAACTCCTGGGCTCAAGCGATCCTCCTGCCTCAGCGTCCTAAGTAGCTGTGACTATAGGCATACAGGCATGTGCCACCACTCCTGGCTAATTTTTCAATTTTTTATAGAGATTACTACTATTTATACTCTTTAACATCTTTTTTTTTCACTCAACAGTATGATATAAATTACTGAAAATATTTTTGTGCTTATTTTTTTCATACTTTTTATAGAAAATCAAACAATTACTGGAAGACCCTAAAGCATGCATTGCTTCCAGGATGTTTGGGATTATTACTTCCAAAATAGCCTCTGTTTTTTTAAATAGTTTATGGTGCATCATTCTTTTAATTTTTTATTTTTATAGGTTTAGGGGGTACTCGTCCAGATTTGTTACATGGATATATTGCATAATGGTGAAGTTTTGGCTTTTTGTGTAACCCTCACCCAATTCCTGTACATAGTACCCATTAGGTAATTTCTCTTCCCACACTCCTCTCCCACCCTCCCACCCTTTCAAGTCTCCAATGTCTATTATTCCACTTTCTATGTCCATGTGTACTCATTATTTAGCTCCCACTTATAAGTGAGAACATGCAGCATTTGACTTTCTGTCGCTGAGTTATTTAACCTAAGATAATGGCCTCCATTCCTGTTGCTGCAAAAAACATGATTTCATTCTCTCTTATGGCTGAATAGCATTCCATGGTATACCTATACCACCCAAATAGGCTCTTAAAGTCTGTTTTAAACACAATAGCTGTAAAGTCAAAGCTTTTGTAAGAGGCAAAAAAAAAAAAAACCAGAAAGTTTTCAAACATATAAAGACAGTACGTAAAATTTAATCAATAAACTATATATTGATTAGAGAATTGGTGAAAAACTAGATGGAACACCAAGGGTTCATAGGATTTTGGAGATGGAGGAGGGAAAAGACTCAATAGAGCATGATGGCAATTGGGGCCTTCTAGACCTCTAGATATCAAATGGAGGAAAAAAAAAGTTCACCTCAAAAGACTGCACCACTGCCTGGCACCAGGAAAACCCACGGGAGCCAACCCTAAACCCAACCCTAAGCCTAACTAAAATCTAACTGTATCTTATATCAATTTCCATCCTTATTCCTAAACCAGAACATCTTTCCTTGCTGTGCCAGGGAGTGCTACACATTGCCTGTGCTGAGGGGTGTATTAGTTGTTTGTCTTGGAAGAGGACATCTCAGAAGTAGCTGCCTTCTCTATATTGCCTATAAGACAATCAATCACCTGTACCTTAGAGCCATGGAGACCACTCTGTTTGGATGACTCTTCTCCTATGGTCCCAGACACTTCTAAGCTTCACCCCTACCTCTGGAAAGTGGAGCCCTGGATAAGGTAGGTGGCTGGGGAAGGAAAAGGTAAAGAAGTGAAAGCTCTACCAGCACCTATGTGAAACCAATGAAAACCATCCTAAGATTTCCACTCATGGGACCAGGCCAGGAGTGAAATTCCCACAGTCCAATTTATACATATTACATAATCATTTTCCTGCAAATGTCTTCAATAACATACCCCCATTTCCCCTCTGTCGTATACAAGTAATAAATTCACAACCTTGAATAAACCAATCTATCTTCTCCATGCCTACACCCCAGTAGCTGAACATTGCTGGAGAAAAGCCCCAAACCAAGTAAAGTGATTTCTCTCTAAATTCATAAACTCAGACCTCAAATGGGCACTTAGCACTGCCCAGCAATCCTGTCATGTTTTTCTTTGGTGGGCTGGTTCTTCCCTAGCATACCTACTTAATAATTTCATAACTTCTTATGTGACTAACTGCATGGGAAAAAGCTAAGAATATGGTAGGCAAAAATATAGGATGCAAAATTCCACATATGCGCTATACTTCCAACTTTGTAAAGAAAAAAAGTACAATTTTATTTCCTACTCTGAATAGGGGGAAAAACTGGAAAAAAATAATTCACAATGTTACCAGTGCTTGACTGTGAAATGGGATAACTTTTAGTTTTATTTTTTCTAAATCTTTTTTTTTTTTGAAACAGAATCTTGCTCTGTCACCTGGGTAGAGTGCAGTGGCATCATCATAGTTCACTGCAACCTCAAACTCTTGGCTCAAGCAGTCCTCCTGCCTCAGCCTCCCAAATAGCTGGGACTACAGGCGTGCGCCACCACACCTGGCAAATTTTTTTCTATTTTTGGTACAGATGGGCTCTCGCTCTTGCTCACGCTGGTCTCCAACTGCTGACCTCAAGTGATCCTCCCGCCTTGGCCTCCCAAAGTACTAGAATTACAGGTATGAGCCCGGCCCAGAACCATGTTCTTGATAAGAACAGAGGATGGCACTTAGAGCACAAATGTAGAGAGGTTCACCTTGGCTAGGGCCGTGGACACCTGGTGGTAGAATGGGCACAAGGCAGTAGATGGGCTCTTGGAAGTGAAAGTTCTCTTCTGTAGTGCTTCTGTTCTCTGATGGAAGTTGAAAGCCAGGTCATCAGCTGATGATGAGGATGTCGTGAGGTTTATAAAAAAAAGAGAAAAGGAGAAGATAGGAAATTGTTATCTATGATGGTGGGAGAGTGAAGGGACTAAGGAAATGTATTATGACTCCTAGGCAGCCCTAAGTGCCAACTTGAGACTAGTCCCAAATTTTAATTGAGACCATTCAGCATAGCTAAGGAAACTAAGATTCAGCAGGGTTAGGTAATGTGGCCAAGGTTTCACAGCTTGTAAGCGGCAGGACCTGTTTCATTCTAAAGCCACATGCAGCCTCAGGTGCAGGCACAGAACAGGTGTAGAATAGGATGTAACTTAGGTTGGGGTTTTGCTGAGGGAGACTGATAGAGGGAGTTGAGCCTATATGGAAGGGAGTGGGTATGATGATTGATCATTGGATTTAAGCTGAATCAGGAGGGTCAAGAACAGGGAAAGGATGGTGAGATAGAAGTACTGTATGTCCAGGTGAGAGTCTAAGGATTGCTAGAGTCCAGATACAAAAGGGACCCAGCTGGAAAGACAGGCAGTAGTAGTTGGAGGGTGAAAAGCTTAGGCTGTTACTGGTGGCAGTTATTGGTAATGACAAGGGCTAAGCTCTGGTCAAGGGAGAGAGTAGTTGAGGTAGGGTGGAGGACAGAATCACTGGAAAAGAGGAGGTCAGGGAATGGAGAAGCTGGGCATTCCAGACGCTTTTGGTGTCCCAGTCACAGCCCCCGACCCACTTCTGATTTTAGCAGCAGCTACAGTGAACATTCCTGCAAGCTCAGACTCCTCCTGGTAGCTTCCCACCTGAAAAGGGCACCTCTCCTTCTGCCTTCACCTCAGGGTCTTCTCTGAAGGCCCAGGAGCCTGCTAGGTTCCCAGGCAAGTGCAGCCAAGTACAAGGAAGATGCTTCAGGGAACAGCCCTCACCCTGGAGGGTCAGAAGGCAGTGGATAAGTGCCCCAGCCTCTGGTTCTTGGTA